TTTTGAGAAATAAATAATGTATTTTTCAGACATATATTTTTATATATATTAGTTTCTTATATTAGTTGAATAATAAATATGGTTTTATTAGATTATTTTCAGTGATAGAGCACATTTTTTCTTTAATTAGGACGACAGTGACTATTTTATTTTATAGAAACTGTTATATTTAATAAAGAGGTTTCGAATTGTAGTGAATTACAACAACAGAATTTTTATTATTTTATTTCAATGATTTTTTGGCTGACCATACAGCTATTTCGAGTATTTCGAAATACCAAATCATCCTTGATCTTGGAATTATTTTTTATATATAATATTCGCAAGTAATTTTTTTAAGACTGCAAGCACCAAGGGCTTCTGAGCTTTATATTTATATGATGAGTATGAGTACAAAAAAGTTATTATGACATTAAAGGTCATAATAATAATTAAAATAACTTTGATTGAAGAAATAAAAACCAAGTTTTTGTTATAATTTTTTTGGACATCATTGTTTTGAAGAAGGACAGAACTGGATAAGGTTTATACTAAATAGCTACGTAGCTAATAGCTAATAGTTATGCTAAACTACGCAGGATAAGAAGATTTTTATAAATTTTTCACTTATTCTGTTGCTATGGATTTTATATACGTCCTTTTGTTTGAGAATAAAATTAGTAGCAATAATAATAATACTGCCCTACTTAGCACTATCTAATCTCAGAGTAATCACTAACAGCATGGGGCGGTACGCAGTTCTTAGATCAGTCATTGAATAATCACGAAGCTTATAAAGAATACACAAATTAGTCAGTGAGTTGGGTGGGAATCTGCAGAAACCCCCCAGCTATCAAAAAGTAAAAATGCCCAGATGCACTAAGTCGGAAGTGCTCAAAACATAATAATAATAAAATATGATAAGCTGAAACGTAAACAGTTCTTACATGATGATACATATATTTGTGGAATAAATGAAATATTATCTTTTGCCAATAGAGTGGCACAGGAGTTCTCCTCATATATTTGGTTCCCATACCAAAGATGTTGTTCTCGGTTCTTAATTTATTAGAACATTTTCTTTATTTCTAATATCAATTTTTAAATGAATATGTTGATTTTTGTAAAACCTTCCTATTTAATTTTATGTACTCGTAAGTCAGAACACTCAATAATCACGTTTTTACAATATACTTTTTAAATTAAGTTGACATTTTATGTGTAAAATTTTTTTGAGTCCGCTTTAGGGAGTATACGTTTATTTTTTTTCGTTAATCTTGTAAATTTAAAATTTTTTCATCTTTCTTCTTCAAACCGCAACCTTGTATCTTTACATTATTGGATTCTGATTTCATTCTCAGGCCGGATTTGCTTACATACGACCCTTTCATTTTCTTTGCTTTCCTTTTGGATTACGCTTTTTATCTTGAACGTTGGTAATAAAAACCTAATAAAATCGGTTTTTATTATTTTCATATCAATAAAATTGTGAGTTTAGTGGGTATTTAGCTGAATGTGACTTTAACTGTCTTTATTATTACGAGAACATGTAGACCATGTAAATACTTGGAAACTTATTAAAGCTCATAAATTTGAGGTTTCATTTTTATTTCTCTTGGTACAAGCAGACGTTGAACAAAGTCACTGCTGTCTTCTCACTGTTGAGGCTGAAGGGTCAGTATTGACAGCTGTGTTCGGATACGAAAATATAATATTTAAAAAAACTTTTAATTTTATTTCAAAATATTGAGAAATAATATATATTTTATAATTTAATTCAGCAAAATGATTTGAATTCGTTGTTCTTACGAAGGCAGTTAAACATAGATATGCAAATTTATTTTGTTACTTTGAATGGTCACTGTTTTTGGGGCAAACACGTACATAAAATACCATTATCCATATTGACAATTATAATAGCAAACCCTATCAGAAGTAACATATTATAATAAACCCTGAAAAGAATACCCGAAAAGCATTTTATTACTAATGAAAATTAATTAAAAATGATTACTGCACATGATATAAACATTTAGTCCAATGTCTTTATAACCCTATATAATTTCTTGGTTGTATTTAGTTTTACATATTTTGGGTCCTCTCTCTCCCTCTCTCTTTCAAGTATTTATTAGTTGTTAACAAAGTTTTTAATACAAAATTAAACGCATATTCTTCACATATCAGTATTTGATAGCATCCGTAATATTCCGTGAGAAGACTTCTTTATTTATTCACTAAAAATATATATTATGAAACTGCAGTTGATCTGTTATTATTTCTAACATTTCTTATTTCTAATTTTATCGTACTTATTTATATTATTTATATATATAATTACATATAAAAACATTTCCTTTGATACGTGAATCTACCCTATTTCTTTATAATTAAAATAACACACTGTTCACACTATCATAAAAACCTCAGCCTTTTAGTTAAACGAGAATGCGTGGAGGAGCATTATACGTGTAGCTTTTAAGGATTTTTTATAAGAGAAATACAAAAACAAAAGATTTGGAACCAGTACTGAGTGTGGCTAAAACGCCAAGCAATTACAGCATTAAAATTAAAAAAACTGCAACCGCATTTATTGGTGTTAAATGCTTTAGGCTGGCGTCGTACTGGCGACACACGTTACTTTGGCCAAGGCAAAGGTCCGCTTTGCTCGTTCCTTTCGTTCCTTAATTTAAGAATGAATAGTGTTGGCGTTCGCTTTGAAACGTAATACCCGAAAGATCGTTTTACCTCCAAAAGAAAAACCTATTTTAATTTACTGCAAGAAAAAAAAAAACGTTAAAACACTGTGACACAGTATCCGGGCAAGGACTTTCAATGCTTTATGATACTGGATACTGGTTTCAGTGTTTAAAAATTTTATCTCAACATTAAGTTTGCATTCAGTAGTGGCGACTTCTTCTTGAGTGGCGCTTAATGCAATCCATATTTGGAGTATCGTAAAGCGTGGCAAATAAATGGAGCAAAACCAAATAAATCAATAGTTCAATGCAATGTTTCCAAAACAGCGCTTACATAAGTTAGATAGCGCAATTAGCCGAACTGATACTAATAAGAAAGAATTCACACTAATATATACAGTTTAGTATAATAATTATTGAAATTTTTTGCATGTTTTGTTATTATACACATACCTACACATAGGTATATACATACATATATATATATTTGCTATATTTGCAATCTGAATATGGATAGCTTTTTAGATGTAAGATTAATCATATATTTACATACACACATATATCGATATATATACATATGTATATATAAATTTATAAAGTCTCAAAAAATTATTTATTTAAAATGACGTTTAGAAAAATGATTTGTTTTACTCCTTAAACTTTATTCTTTTGAAATTTTGAATAAAATACAACCTTGCTTATGCTTGCTTTATTTATATTATTTTACCTTCATGTCGGTTATATTGCACACGTGATAAAATTATAGCCGACCACCGTATTCGGGTTTAAATATAGCGGCCGATGATTATACGACCCGTCGCGTGACGACCACCGTGTCGACTATATTACACAAGCAATAAAATTATAGCCGATCACCATATTCGGCTACAAATATAGCAACCGATGATTATTCGACCACTCAAGTGACATCACCCGACGAAATTTTATACCAGTCAGCTGATACGAATGTAAACAATGATGTTTATTAATTTAAAAGTTGGGTCCTTGCTTTGTTCGGAAATCTGCATTAGTTTCGAACGCAGCAAATGTTAATTTTGCCCAATATACATATGTCAAGGGTGTAAAAATAACATTCATTAAATCTTACTTAATCTTGAGAATTTGCTTTTGAGTATAAAAAATGTGTCTGATTCTATAATTTGAAATTATAATATGAGTTTATAATATTAAAATTCAGAGAGTGAATTCTTGTTCCAAGTAATTACAAAAATATAAAGAAAATGTATATAGGAAATATATAGAAAATGTTAAGTACATTTTCACCGTTGGTTAAGACGGTGAAAGAAATTAGACAGGAATATTACTTATTGGCATTTTATTGAAAATTTTGCTACACAAACCACAGACCTCTTATTCCTATTATCACATGTAGTAAAAATTGCGAATCGTCAAAATGGATCTATGAATAAAAATAGACTAAAAAAAATCAATGCGTATGAAGACCGGTAACACAAGCTGATTTTTAATAGATGAAAGAAAGATTGTTTTGACTGCATATATTGCAAGTGTACTCTCAGTTAACGGGTGTAAGAAGTAAATGAAATTTCGTGTCAAGAAGGCTCACAGAATATTTGCTAGTCCGCAAAATATATGTCGCGTTAGACATACGCTATATTAACATTTACCAGTGAAGAAATAGACTTTTAATATACTATGTACTAGGAAATTAGTATATCGTTTATAAAGTTAAAATTTTCGTCGAATTCTTCAGCTTCTAAATAAAGTATGTGATAAATGTATATACTATATATAAATAATAGTATATTTCGTGGAATATGTTTACTTTCGTTTTTTAAGCGTACCTTAAAACGGTTTTTAAAATACTTTAAATTTATTTTAATACTATTAAAATATATACAGTCAAAAGAAACAAACAGAAACAAATTCATTTAAAACTAAACCAATGGGCCTATTTACACTATCATGAACGTAACATGAACATGAACTTGAAAATCGGTTAGCGATAGCACAGAAATTTAAAGTACTCCGTATTGAAAGGTAAACATAAACATAACAGTGCATATGTATGCGTGTCAAGCTAAAGAAACGCAGCAAATTTTATTGCGTGAAATTCATGAACTCAAATTACACTCTCTTCCCTCTCTCTTCTATAAGTAACCGGTTTTTAAGTTCAAGTTCATGTTCATGTTAATGATAGTGTAAATAGGCCCATAATAATAAACATAACATGGTAAATACATGACAAAACATGTTTATTGTCGTCACAGCGCATCAAGTACAAAATATTTAATGTTGGCAATGCCGACAATTTTGCGACGCTATTTTGTCGAACATAGAGCAAGACCGAGTACCGCGAATTTATAAGCGCGTGATATATTTTAAAAAACTTTGGGAAAAGTCACTGTAAATAAGCTTCTTAAATAAAAATTCAAGCATCTAACAAATATCTTCACATTTTAGTTTAGTATTTTCGGAAAAAAAATATTCCTGATCGCCTCAAGCACAAAAAATAAAAATGGGCTTAAATATTGACAATTTTTTAGAAGACCAAAGTAAAGTTGAAAGATTCGAATGTCCGGTGTGCCTTGATGGGTATGAAAACCCATCTACAATTAAAGTTTGCGGGCATACCTTCTGTAAGGCATGTATACTAGAATGGAGAGAGCGCCACAGCTCCTGTCCAATGTGTCGCTCCAGTTTTGGTTTGGGGGACTTAAAGAATTTCAGAGGGAAGCTGTACAACACTTATCTGAACTTTAAGCTAAAGTGCGACAACGAGGGTTGCATGACAATTATAACAGTGGGTGGGCGAAAGGCTCACCTTAAGCGTTGTGCTTATAAGCCCAAGCCAGAAGACTAGTTAATGGATCTTACAAGAAAATTTCATCTCTTACCGAAAAAAAACAAAATTTATTTTTAAGTCTTTAAGTCTTTATAACACAAAATTTTGAATATTATATTATAACAAAAGCATAATAGTTAAGATATACTTAACTAAGATACATTTTATAGTACATTAGTAATTTTTTCATTATATACTTTATAATAAAATGGTTTGAATTTTTGTTGGTAAATACAATTATTTTTGTAATTTATAAAATAAAAGTAATTAAACCAAGAGATATTTTAATAAATAAAGAACAAGTTAACAGAAGTAGCAAGATGTTTTTTAATATTGCTAGTTTCGTCTAAAACTGAGTATTGAGCAATAATTTGGTTTGGTTTCCTTTATCATCAAATTTTTTGGTTAGCAAGAATTTTGCGTGCATAACTTTTTCCTTCTCCAATAACTGAAAATGAAGCAGAAATTTGTTTTGTTGTAATATTCACAAACTTTTATTTAATGAAAAACTTTACCTTTAGATAAATGCAACTCGCATTTGCAATGGTTGTAACTTATAGGTATCTTATGGATCTAGAAAATGTTACCACAATTTCGCTGGGTTTTCAAAAATGTAGCATCAAATTTTTTAAACAATGAAAAGTAATTTCTGCGGTGTCTTGTCATTATATATAAATATTAGAACAGAGTCAGGCATCTTTGGTGTAAGTTGTATAAGATATGTTATTGTAGTTTGCTGATAATTCAAGGTCACGTCCTCTTCTGTTTATTTGTTGACTGTTTATTTGAAACATACACACGTCATTCAGTTGATAATAGGTGTATGCTTCAGTTTGTGGTGTAAGTTGCAGTTAGAGGCGATGATGGAGATAGCGTTTTATTTTTCGGTAACGAATAGTAACGCTTATGGCACAACAAATTAAATACTTTTGAAAAGCTGTACGTTTAGCCAAACCAATTTCTAATATATGATAACGATTCAATAGTGCTTCACTATATTCAACCGAATTTCCGGAAATATCATAGTGATTGTAGTCACATTCTTCAAACTCAACAATTCGCGAGACTATTTGTTTCCAACAACAATGGAGTGGGGTATAGATTTCACGTTTACAATAAACACACTTGCCCACAGGGTTGGGTTTGAAGGCACAACGTTTGAAATGAGATTTCAGGCCGCTAATTGTTGTGACAGTATTGCATCCCTCGTACTCGCACCTTAGCTTTAGACGTTTATATACACGTTGCATCGGTCCGGTTAGATTGACGAAATCACTAGCGTGGAATACTTTACGGCATAATGGGCAACAGTTATTTAAAGTGAACCATTCACGTACGCAAGTGCCACAGAAATAATGACCACACACTCCAATTCTGGTTGGATGGGATAACACATTAAGACAAATTGCACATACGAAATCCTCGATTTTATCATCCAAAAATAATTCAACGTTAATACCCATCTTCAAGTCATCCAAATATTTTCTTTGCAACAAATATATATAATAATTAAGATGTTTTAAATATTATTTGATGAATCTGTGCTACAACTCCGATTCATACGTTTTTTTATAATAAAAATTTTTTTTTTCAATATTTGACTTATTGAAAAAATTTACAGTCCGCCTACTTGTCCTGTCACATTTTTCTAAATAGAACAAACATTGCCAGTCTTAAGGTATCTTTGACATTCTATAGTAAACTTAATTATTTAGTTAGTTAGTGTAGACTTCAGATTATCTTAGAGACCGTTTACACTTTAGCCTATCTAAGATTATGTAAATCAGCAATTTTTGTTTCTTCATAGAGTTTAATAGAGCTATAATTTCTTGTTATTTAAAATTGAATTTCTTAATATAAATAATAAAAAAATTTGTGAAATTTCCATTAATTTTTCCATATCTGTTTGAAATTTATTCAATACAATGGGTTTTATATGAGAAGTTATAAATTCCTTAGCGCTATACACACTAGTGGCTACTTGATAATTAATTCCGATTTCTGGTGGAAAAGAGGAGGAGATGAGGTATAGTTACAGTAATATCGCAACAGCTTCTGCGACTAGTTCTGAATTAGTGAATTCACTAGTTCCCAGGTGTATAGTACTAGTCGCTACATAGTCTACTTTACGTAGGTGATTTTCACATTGAGTTGTCATTGCTGGTGTCAATTGTTCCGCAACGAAACACCTCGGAACTAATCTTTTCACTTGTTCATAAGGAGTAGAAGGGTGTTTATTGTCCCCGTATCATACACCGCAGCACTAGTCTCTTCTAATATATAGTTCATAAGGGGAGAATGGTGTAAATTGTACCCGCACTATATACCGCGGCGCTATTATTTTTACTAGTTCTTGATTTGAAAAATAATAAATAAAACATGCATTTATATATTATTATATATATATTTATTTAAATATATGTTGATTATTTTCATATTAATAAATAACTTTCTAACTGATTGTGCTGTAGTTATATCAGATCGCCTAGGGATTTAAATGATGATCTATAGATGATGTTGCAACCTTGTCTTTAATGAAAAAAAAAAAATATGTATGATTTATACGCTATTATTTTAACTGAATTTGGTACTTACATGGAGTTCGGACACATTCATTCGTATTCATCGCAGTGTGTTTTAATGACTTATGTATACCGTTCTCTTATTAATTATATGAATTCTAGATATTATTATATATTATATTACATATTTACATATTTAAAATCGATATCTGTTAACATTACTTGATCTTCTTCATATTGTTGTGTGTTTTTACATATTCGCCAAATCAACGCTCTATTGTGAAAGAGACATAATATTAAAAACAAGAGAATATAATTCGTTGCTCTCAATTTGTTCATACACAGCAAGCATAAGCAGTGGATTTTCGTTTCAACTAGTGAATCGTTGCATTACCAGGGGTCAGAATGTGCACTAGCTCCAAAATAACTATAATATGTGGTTGAATTTCTTTATTTGTCATTTGTTTTGGTTTTCTCTTGTTCAAAAATAATAGAATCCACTATTAAATTTTATACAAAAAAAGTATTGAGAAATTTATATATTCTAAGTGGCGATTTAACTCATCCCCACGGACCACTCATTACATCGGTTTGAGTAATAAGCTGTATAGATGGTTAAGTCACCCGTTTTAGTTATATCGAGCTTTCCTTTAATAGTTGTTAGTTTTTTTTTATTCATACGTAATTTTAGTATATTTCTATTTGTTATATTACATTTCACTTCACTTTAATTTATTTTTGGTGTTATGTATATGTTGCATTGTTTTAGTGATAATTAAGTTTTGTTGATGGTTGGAAGCTTGAATTTATTTTCTCCTAAGTAAGAAAAATAGGCCGTTACTGAGTTTTTGAAGCCTTGTACCATAACTATATAAATAATATTTTCTTGTATATTTGGTGTTATTATGGAAAGCTGTGTAATTTGCCCCTAATAAATTCGAATGACTTGCAAGTCATAGAAATCTAGAAATAAACTGATTCGATCTCCGAACTGGGCTTTGTACTTAGAAAACTGGTTTTGGACTTAAAAATGCAAGTAAATGCACAAAATCGGTACAACTGAATAATAGCTTTCTCCAGATGGTAACGCTAAATAACTTGGTATACAGTAAGATAAGCAACTGACATTGAAGCAAGTATTTTTATTAAAAGAAAAGAATTTGATTTTTTGTTAACAAAAGGGACTGTTTCATTGGTCCATATTCTAAGGTTTCCCTTTACAACAAATAATTTGTTTATAAAGCAATTCTAAAACTCTTATGACTTTATAATATTCAGTTATGTAGGCCACTTTCCAAATCTAAAATTGCAATAATTTAACGTTTTCACTCAAATGTTTCTCTCCCATTCGCATACTCCATTAATACGCATATGAATGGAAAAACTGGAGATATGTAACCACGGTTGCCACTTGAAAATTTTTTTCTGTACCAAAATTGGTTTAAAAAGGTACCATTTCTGTAAAAAAAGGACCAAAATTTTTCTATTGTCTTTTTATAAGAAAATACAATTTATATAAAATGTACAAAAAGTATAAAACAATACAATATCCACAATAAAGTTGGGTCGCCTAAAATGTACCATTTTTTGAACATGAGTACCAGAGTACCAAACAGAAAAAAAAGTACCAATTTTGGTACTAAAGTACCATAAGTGGCAACCGTGTATGTAACATACCATACACATTTCGCCTGCAGTTCTCTCCAAACTCCATTGGTACAGCTTGGAACTGCTAGAACTTATAAAAATCTAATCTCAGCTAAAAAGATTTCAGCCCAATAACTTAGTAGTTTTAAGTTAATTTTTTTAAGATAATTTCAAGCCAAGAGAAGCAAATAGACGAAGGGGTACGTGTACAGTGCTGGGTAATTTTCTCCCGTTGTTATGCTTTCAAATATTCATAAGTATTACTTACTGTCTTAGGATAGTACAAATAAATTAAAGACACTAAAAAATAAATAAAATGTTATGAACGAGGCTCAGAAAATAGACAATAGCATCATTTGTACAGTTCGATTCCTACACCCAATATTGATACTGCGACTGTCTTTATATTAAGACAGTTGGTGGAATTTATCAAGTTCACTTCAAGTTTATAATCACTTCTAACGTAAAAAAATGCAAAATAATTTTGTCTAATGTATACACAATAGTCGCTCATAACATCGAAAATATATAACAGTTCAAACGATCATAACGATCATTCTAACACACGTATTTCCCTAAGCAGGATAAAAGAGAGAGAGAGAGAGAGTTATATACCATATATATAGTGATATTGAAGAAGTACAATAATGTAACAACAAAACACATTATAAAACCAGCTATTTCTTTAGTGTTCAATATTTTATTTTCCAGTGGCCATTCTTAATAAAATGGTCTATACCAGATGCGATCGCGGGCTAATACAAATCACTGTACAGAGGACCACAGAAACAAATATATACGTTCATAGTTGTTTTCGACAAAAATATTAATTCGACTATAATGTTAAATTTAGTTTTATTAATTAATTAATTTAACTTCATTTATTTGATATACCATA